TCCAGTTAGTTATTTACGAGTATACGTTGTTATCTCCAGTTAGTTATTTACTATAATACACGAATATACGTTGTTATCTCCAGTTAGTTATTTACAATAATACACGAATATACGTTGTTATATCCAGTTAGTTATTTATTATAATACACGAATATGTTATCTCCAGTTAGTTATTTACAATAATACACGAATATACGCTGTTATCTCCAGTTAGTTATTTACAATAATAATACACAAATATACGTTGTTATCTCCAGTTAGTTATTTACAGTAATACACGAATATACGCTGTTATCTCCAGTTAGTTATTTACAATAATAATAAACGAATATACGCTGTTATCTCCAGTTAGTTATTTACAATAATAATACACGAATATACGCTGTTATCTCCAGTTAGTTATTTACTATAATACACGAATATACGTTGTTATCTCCAGTTAGTTATTTACAATAATAATACACGAATATACGTTGTTATTAGACAATTCAATATCACAGTGTTTTTTGTTTGTTTTTGAACACACATTTTAAACCACGAATACACTTTATGAATTCTTATTACAAACAAAAACTACTTTACTTATTTTCAGTCCAAGAAGGAGCTTTCAAGAAACTGAAAGTAGAAACGACTTGCAGTTCGTCGCTTGGATCAGTAGGATTGTCTACAGTTGTGGGTGCGGGAACGGGAGGAAGCGGCGCTTCAGCGACCGGCATTGCCAACTGTCCGCCTACTCCGGCTCGCCGCCGTCATCGAACCACCTTCACGCAGGAGCAGCTGCAAGAGCTCGAGGCCGCCTTCGCCAAGAGCCACTACCCTGATATCTACTGTCGGGAGGAGCTTGCTCGGATCACCAAACTCAACGAGGCACGGATACAGGTAGATTACAGTGATACGAATAACATTTTATGTAAAGCAACTCCCATTAGAAACAACTATTTCGAGACAACAGATTAATAAAGTAACCAAATTAGCCACCAGATAACTAAAGATAATAAGTTGATTTAATGAAAATTGAATTCTATTTTTATATCGGAAATAAATTGGTTTAATTCTGTATCTAACACGTGCTTAAAATATCCTTATTTATGATTAAATAGCAACTTGTTATGGAATTCTGCTACTTTAAACGTTTTGTTGGTTACTTGCTTTCTTTTATTTGTTAAATGATTTACTAATATTTTGTAAAACAATCTAACTTAGAGAAATATTGAAAGGTCTTCAGGAATATTACACAATTTTAAGTTGGGTAAAACGATCTAACTTAGAGAAATATTGAAAGGTCTTCAGGAATATTACACAATTTTAAGTTGGGTAAAACAATCTAACTTAGAGAAATATTGAAAGGTCTTCAGGAATATTACAGTTAGATTGTTTTATACAATATTTACTTCTTTTAAATCCTAGGACGTCTAAATAATCATAGTCAATGCTAAGTACTAAATTATGTGTCACTTTCGCTAATGTTTCAAGACAGTTTCGAAGATTGGTTCATAGTTTGAATTTCTCAAAATATGATTCACATTTCTATATAAAGTAGAATAAAAATATTTTTTCCTCTAAGTAATATGCAATAGACATATAACTATGTGCATGTATGTGCAAAACCTGCATTGTCGTTCACCTTTACATCCTGTATTCTTGGCCAATAGAACTAATCCGGGCGAATTAAGACCTTATGTGTCAATTAAAATGTTTCGAAAATTACTTATTTCCTATAGTGCAAGATGAACAAACAGCCCCCCCCCCCAAATGTTCTATTTTCATGACGAAATTAACGGGTAAATTATTTTTCATATCTGTCAGACCCTTAATAATTCTACAAGAGCGTGATTACAAAATTTAATAACATTGTAATCATTGATATCATTTGAACTGAAGGGCGTCGGAATATGGGGGAAAGGGCTTCCCATCTTTAATACAGAGGGGTAGAAACACCCAGCTCAGCCACTACAAATCTACAGGTTTACGATTTCCTGAATTTGAATTTAGTTTTTTTTTAATACAAAATAATGACTCACTTTAAACAAAGAGATTCTAGACTGACTTTGGTAGTTGGAGTCGAAAAAGATAAGGAAAATGAATTAAAGTAAAAAAATGGCATGAAAGTTAGTTATTAATCTGTTTATCTTGATTGTGTTTTTACCCTGATTTTCGCCATACCTAGACCCTCACTCTGTCAAAATATGCACAAATTCTCATTCTACCTCAGCGGAACATGTCTTCGAACCCCACTTCTACTTGGTGGGGAGAAGCGCACTCTGACAAATTTAATTACTTCCTACTTTGCCCCCAAGAAACACACCTTTTATTTCCTATGTTTACGTTAGCCCACTAACCATCAACGGCTTAAATACAGGATCACTTCACTTTTACTTTCCAACTACATCCCGCCATATAAGCCCAACCTGGTCTATAGTAAGATGTGTAGAAATATGATTTTTTTAGATCAGGAAGATCGTCTGCTATAATTGGCTGTTTATACACTCGTCTATGTATTCTTTCTTTGAAAATTACCCAAGTCCCTTTCGTACCAGCTTGAGCTTTCTTGTAAAGTGTGACTATGCCTAACCACCAGAGGCGTCGCTAGGTGGTTAAAAGAGTCGGGGCCTGGCCCCATAGGTGCGGAACTTTTCAGCGTTTCAGTATGATATCGATCATGGTTTTCTATCCTTATTTTTTCAAGACACCAACTGGGGATTCGAAGCACTGTCAGGTAGAATCGGGGCATGGGCTCTCTGTGGCAGTGCCTAGCGACGCCTCTGCTAACTGTATTTTTTCAAAATCGTGTAAGTTTACTCAACAGTATGCATGAGCTGTAACTAAAATACAGAAATGTTACTATCGGTGTTAATATGTTCTAGAGTTTATTTTCAGATAATAATAAGTCTAGTTTCGTAGACTATTAGTTCTTTCCCGTAAGCGACAGGGTGGGAACTTGAGGCCAGTTGAACCAACTTGATAACACTCACTATAGACAAATAACTATTACCTGATTTTTTTACCACTAAAACAAACACGTTCAAGTGCATGAATTAAAACAGTTATAGTGAGAATGAAATGTTAGATCCAAAAGTAATATTTTTTCCTATAATTAATTGAAGTACGGTCGTCGACTGGAAACTATCTAAAGTACGGTCGTCTAACAGGCAAACTGTGTCGGCTGTTATCTGTTAACACTTTCATTAACCCCCCCCCCCCCCCCAAATAAAACGCACATCACGTATAATAGTTAAACGAACCGCCTAAACGTCACGTTAGTGTAGCCTGTATAATGTGTAAAGTTTAGTATATTCTAATCCCTTATAGTGATGGCACACGACGAGACAC